CAACAGCGGTTCGAGTCCAGCCCGAGCTGAGCAGCCGCTGAGCTGCCAACAGGCAGCAGGATGGCTCAGCTAAAAAAAAAAAAAAAAAAATTCTAGACTGAAAAAAACATGAAAATAAATAGTACAATTGTTGAAAATTAACATTTTTTTAAGTAAGTTGAGTCATCACTTCACCATACTCACAAAATCCCTGTGTACCATACACTCCATTAGAATTTGAAAAAGGTGCTTGGACTGTTTAAAACTAAAGTTGAAAGTGTTCTGAATCATGCAGATGATCTCTTTCTTCGCCTGAGGATTAAGGGTCCTGGGAGAGAGATAAATAAATGGTCGTGACTTGACATACACAGAGAAGGCAACAACCCAGCAACATTAGTACAAGAAAACCAACTATCTGCTCTACCTGACTGAGAAGGTTTTTATGCACAGCTCTGCCAAAAAAGAAAATGAGCAAGAAGCAAAGGGAAGCAGCGGCGCGAGAAGTCTGAATTTGAAAACAAGGATCGGATGATCCGCCATGATACTGGAATGACTGTACCCAAGGGCAAGGTTCTCAAGCTGATAGGTTTTCAGGGGGCTGTTCCATGTCCAGAAATTCTACGATCGTATTCTCAAAAGGATCTGAAACCCCAAAAGGTTTAAGAACCGCTCATCGAGGGTGACTTTGGCAAAAGGAGAGGTGACAAAAGATAAGCAAGGAAGGGGCTAGAGGGTGGGAGTAGAGAGCTGAGGGCTGAAATGGGAGAGAAATTGTAAGGAAAGAGTTGTCAGCAGTTATAAGCAGTGAATGTTTATTGAGTAAATTAGTAGGGTCAATATTTTAACTGATTAGCACTATATTTACTTACACAGAAGAAATATCATGCTTTTGAAATTGGAAGAATAAGAAAAGATGAAATTTAAAATCTCGAATAAGCACAACTATATACGCTATATAAATGCCAGCATGTCGATTTTCCCAATTCCTGCTATTTTTACTAATGGTGAATGAATCTGAGGGTGACCTGGAGCCAAAGCTGTTTTTCTCACTCATTGCAGAATATTTTCAGCTATAATGGCCAGTTGCAGGAGCATCTCCTCCCTCACTCTCCCTGCAAATGTTTTTCCACAAAGCTCAGACAAGGTTCAAGCATCCCTTAGAGATGCAGGCTATTCTTCTGCTAAGAAAATAGCAACTTGCATTGTTGGAGGGCTTTTCGATGTTGATTAATAAATATAAAAGTAATTAAAAAGTGAATTCCAGTCTCTATCTCTGTCCTCCAAAGATATCCAGCCCAAATAAAAGCAGAGCTTAAAGAACTAAAATGGAGAAATAAACAGTCACCACAGTTTCAAAAACAAAGAGTCAACAACTCACCCTTCATCTGCTAAGTGTTTGTGGGTGAAGGCCAGAAGGTCAGCAGCCCTCCCAGTGCCTTCACACACCACCACTGGATGTTTGTCTTTCACAGTCTCCCACACCCAGAGGATGACATTGGGACCTCCTTCCACCACCAGTCCCACCATGGGCACACCTTGTCTTGAGCCTATGTCAAATAACGAACAATACCAAACTGTTACAAAGCAACCCTATCTCAGCCAGTCAGCCATTTTGATTTCCAGACACAAGTGTTCAAATCACCACATATATTCATTACTTATTCTAGCCCTTCTCTCAGGCTTGTGTAGTTCAAGACCAATCCAGAAGCTTGGACTTTAAATAAAAGTAGCATAAATATGGTGAGAGCATCTTCAAGATTTCTCAGGTTAAAAAAAATAGCTAAATGCTTTCAGTAATTTTTTTTAAAAAGTAATCCTCAAGAAATTTTAACTTTTCAGGCCGGCCGAGTGGCTCAGTTGGTTAAGAGTTGGCTTAAGGGCATGAGCTCTGAGCAACAGGGCCACCAGTTCGATTCCCACATGGGCCAGTGATGCTGTGCCAGAGCTGAGCTATCACTGAGCTGCCAACAAGTGGCAGGATGGCTCAGCTGGTGTAACAAGATTGCCTGTTCAATGGTGGGCTACGCCCACCATCTTAACTAAGACTGAACTTGGCACCTTGAACTGAGCTGCCACCTGGATGGCTCAGTGGATAGAGCGTGCGCTCTTAACAACAAGGCTGCTGGTTCGACTCCCACATGGGATGGTAGCTACACCCACCTGCAACTAAGTTTGAACACAGCACCTTGAGCTTAGAGGCCACAAGCTGCCATCGGAAAGTCAGATGGTGACTGGTGCCCTCCACAATGAAAATTGAAGAACAACAACTTGGCTGATCCCCTCCTCCAATTCCCCAATAAAATCATAAAAATTTTTTAAATAAAAAAGAAATTTTAACTTTTCATTGTGAAAAATTTCAAACCTTTCTCAAAGAAAACAGAATGATATAAGGAATCCAAATGTATGCATCACTCATCTCCAAAAATGATCACCCTTTCGCCAATTCAATCATCAACTTACAATAATGGCTATTTCTAAAAACAAGATGGGATGGGTAACTCTCAGAGAACTTTTACATTTCAATTTATTTCATTTTTATTGTTTGAATTTGTTATCATGACTATAGATACTCTTTCATTAAAGTAAGGAAAACCAAAAAAACAAAGAAGGAAGGAAGGAAGGAAGGAAGGAAGGAAGGAAGAAAGAAAGAAAGAAAGAAAGAAAGAAAGAAAGAAGGAAGGAAAGAAAGAGAAAAAGAAAATACTGGAGTCATTCCTTTTAAAAAGGCATTAAGTGAAAGAGTTATAGGATGGTTTGCATAATATCCTGTTTATATTTTCTGAAACATATGCATAGATAGATAGATAGATAGATAGATAGATAGATAGATAGATAGATAGATCTCCAGAAAACTCTGGAAGGATATACATCAGACTATTAACAGCAGAGAAGAGAGGGAGAGTTGGGGGGTTTGGGGGCATTTTGAAAAGAGACCCTGTTTATTCTATAGATTACTTATTTGATTTAACTTTTATACCACATAGATACTATTTAAATCAATATTTTATTTTACTTTTCAAAAGAAGAAAAATTGGCAGGCAATGCCACACTCAACCCAGAGGGCTTTATTCTGGGCCACATGTTTTACAGGGCCTTCCTCTCCCCATGCTCCTCCCTTCCCAGTGAGGAGTCTGCAGGAACAACGTCTGAGGAAAGCCTGTGCCCCCTCCTCTACCTATTAGAGTGCCGCAGACCCCCAAGTTCCTGCTACCATGGACTGCCTGGGTCTCTGCCCAAGATATGTCCTCCCCACTTTCGTACTTGCTGAAGCAAATGGCAGCAGGGTAGAGGAGGGGTGGAGAGAATTTGAAAATATAGGCTGGTGTGTGCAGGTGGCCACATGTGTACAAGGCCATGGCATGGTGGGATTGAACCAAGGGCAGGAAGAGAAGCAGAGAGTGGGCTACAGGCCGGGGCCAAGGTGCTGGCTCTGCCTCACCCACCATTCTGGCTCAGTACTCCCCAAAATCCAGGATTCTAAACTCAAACCTGGCCTTCAATCTATATCTGCAAAAGTAAAAGGACAGAACAGTATACAATTTTTTAGTTTGATTTAAGGATTTGAAGTATTTGGACGTATAGTATGTGGACGTCCATGTGTACCCTTGTCCCGTGCTCCCCAAATGTTAGGGGTGGTCCTGTTAGCAGGCATTTGAATACTTTCTTCAGTCCATTTCACTGCTTTGTCATTCTAATTCTTTTTTCCGTATACCTCCACCTCATTATTTTCCCCCATCACTAAAAAGTGAACCTAAGAAAGTATAGGGGTTCTGAACAAGTCACCCCCACGCTGTGCCTCTGCGGTATGAGGATTATTTTGAGCCAAGGCAACCAAGACACTGTGGGCTCAGGAGAAACTTCTGCCCCACCCACCAACTACCTAGAAGAATTTAAATTAGGAGCCTTGCCCATAATAAGAGTTATTACCTGAGATAACTTTTTATGACCTACCTATAGAGCAGAACCAACTAATAATTACTGAATATGTCCTCTTCTTATCATCCTGCAATGACCTTCCTCCCCTCTAGAGGAAGGTCACACCCAAAAGGACCTTACCTCAGCCTTAGCTCAGCATGTCATATATACCTCTTTTGAACTTTGTGTCTCTGAACCTCTCGTGTATGTGGGGTCTCTGACTCTCTCATGTATGTGGGGTTCCCAAACGTACATAGATAATTAAATGTGGTTATGTTCTCTTATTAATCTATCTCACTGAGATTTAATGATTAGACCAGCCTAAAGAAACTTGAAGAGGAAAGGAAGTTTCTTCCTCCTGCACAATACTCTAATTGATAGTCATAGGATTCCTCTAATAATATAGTCTTATCAAAGCTAAATGAAATGGATACAATAGATACAATGGATACAATAGTATGTTAAAGCATAAAAGTAACAGAAGAAAATTTAGATGTATGTTTCATCAATCACTGAATTATTAAAATGGGTTATAAAAAACATAAGCGAATCTCTTACATCCTATATAATGAAATATTATGTAGCCATTAAAATGTGCTAAATTAGGCTTATGGATGTGGAAATACATCTATGTTTGGGGGAAGACTGCAAAAGAAGCATGGATATTATATGATACCAGGGCTCATGTTTAATATGCTGCTCTTTGTGTGTCTAGAAAACTTCTGAAAGCATAAATATAAGAAAGCTAGCAACGGTTAGTTTTTGATAGTGAGATCAGGCCAGCCTCCTTATTGCTCTTCAGCCATTCCCATTCCCACATTGATACTTCCCTTCTCTCTCCCTCTCTCTGTCCAGCCCTAAGGACTCCTGGAGGCTCTGCTAAAGTCTCCACTCTTCCACAAAACCTTCCCTGTCTATACTGTCCCCCAAAGATTTTTCCTGTCACCCAACTGTCACCCACGGATCTGTACCACCTCACATCCTGTTTCCTTCTAACTGTGGATTCACACATGTTCATTTAAGGCTAGGGCTGCCTTGGACCTTTCCACTCTGTACAGATAATAATGGAGAACCTTGCTCCACAGCAGGCCCCCAGCCAAGACCTGTTGGCTGAACCCCCATGGTACTCACGGCTGTGTATTTTCTGCAGAGACAGGTACTTTTCCAGGTTCCTCCTGAGCTTCATCTCATTTCCATACTTGCCCACAGTCCCATCATCAGACAGGATGAAGTGGGAATGCATGCTGTTGAGTGTGGTGAGCTTGCTGAGGGGGTTTCCCAGAGTCTGGTACAGGCACACCACCTACAAGACAGCAAGGACAAGGGAGGGTCAGACCTTGACATCCTTCCCCTGGCTCAGCTGCTCCAAAGGCCTGTCTCTATGCACTACAGGGTTCTTGTTGAGATTAAAAAGCACAACTTGCAACCAAGAGCAGTGTTTCTCAAGCTGTGGTGAAAGATCAACTTGTTTTTTTTTAATTTTTCATTTTTTATGGACCAATATGTGGTCCTACTATGCATGACTATTATGCAGTTCTGCTCATGAGACTCAACAACACCAAGTTCAACTACACTCGCACACTCCATGCGCAGCAAGATAAGCCCACTGACTACATGCTTGGATATCACAGCACTGCCACATTGCTAAAAATGGTTCTAAATATTCATTTTCAATTTTGTACTTTCAGTTTTGTACAATCTGAAGTACTTGCCTTGCTTCAGATGTTTTTTAACAGTTCAAGAATCGGCATGAGTACAAAAAACACATCACTGTACAGAAAATATGCCTTTAGTAAGTCTTTTCCAGAATAATATTTTGACACTGATTTTTTTCTAGTATTCCATATGAAATGAAGAGTAACAGCTAATCAAATGGCGATTTATTCTATATAAAACATCCACATCTTTATTAACATGTGTTGAGTCTTCCTTAAGTTATTCCGATTCTTATTTGTTTTTAGAGATGCCTGGACAGGATCTGGAGTCAGAGCCCAAGTTTAAGTCCAGATTCTTCTGCTTACTCACCCTCCTTTCTCAGGCTGATTTTCTTCATGTATAAATGAAGATGATAATAATCCCTACATCAGAGGGTTGCTGTGAGGCTTAAAAGAAATAATGGATGTAAAAAGCATTTTAAGCTTTATGAACATTATTCCTCAAAAGTTACCATTATAATTCCTAAGCACGACACTGAGGCCAGAAATCAAAAAGAAAATACTTGGTCGATTTAATATATATTTTTATTTATGGAAAAATGATCATAAATTATATAAAATTAAAAAGGGAAAATGCAGCATGCATGCCAAAAACGTTAATAGAATGAATTACAATATAAAAGGTCCTTCAAAATAGAAAAACCATGGTTGAAAATGCACAAAAACTACATGAAATGATATTGAAACTCACTAGTAATCAGAGATGTGTAAATAAGAACAATTAGGTATTATTTTATACTTATCAGAATGGGAAATTTCTTTAAAAGCCAGATTATCCAGAGCTGACAATGGATCAGAAATGGGCACCCTCATACCTTGTTGGTAGGAGTGTACATTGTTACCACCTTTCTGGAAGGTAATGAGTCACATTTTTAAAGGTAGATACCAACTAGCACAATCATTCTACTTTAATAATTATTTCTAAGGAAACAAAGCCAGCCAGTTTCAAAAATGTATGTATGTACCTTATCACAACATAAATTTCATTTACAAAAGTGAAAAACAGGAAATCACTGAAATGGACAATAATAAAGAAATAGTTTAATAAATTATAGTACTTTAATACAGCAGAATATTATGAGACATAAAAAATCAAAATGCACCCCTAGCCCCCAAAATTTGGTCTGTTAATACTATTTCCCACTAAAAGCAACCAATGATTTCTCTAGCAGCAAAAAAATATACACAATGAGCCTGGAACATTTTACAGACCAAAATGCAATGAAGCTATGGAAAATGACTAGAATTGTGTTAAAAGGACTCAGGAGACATCTTGAAAACATTCCACTGGGCAAAAGAAGATGATCTGAGCATGATTAAGAGTAATAACTATAATGAATTGAATATATAGTAAGTGATGAATATAAAATAAATAATGAATAAATAATAAATTGAAATATACTAAATATGTTTAAATTCAAGAGTCAAAATAACCTACTCAATGGTTTGAAAACTGGCAAATAAAGAGAAAAAAATCAAGCATTTATTCTAACTATACCACAGAGTAAACCAAGTGGCTGATACAAAAATGTTTTTCTCTATATTTAAGCTAATAAATGAAGGAACACTATAATAAATACCAGCAATTTGCAACACTATTGAAATAATAAATGTAGGTAATAATAAAAAGAGGGATGACCCAATGTTGTAGGTGAATGACACATCTCCTCCGGTGGCATAAACTTGAGCAAACAGAACCTGAATGTGGTCGTACCTTTGGATCAAACTACCAATTTATAGGAAAGACAAGAGACAGAGAAACCTACTATAAGTGGTTAAATCTGCAAAGTCCAAACTATAGGAAACTCTTCAAGACAAATGGCCGATTTTCTTCAACAAATAAATTGCCAAAAAGCAAAAAATAGGAAATAGAGGGAAAAAGTGATTAAAAGTGACTCAGGAAAAAAATAAGTGACTCAAGATCTATCAACCTATCACAATGTAGGAAACTTATTTAGATAATGAAATCAAACAACTAACAAAATATGAGCCAATCAGAAACTTGAACACAGACTGGATATCTGATGATATTCAGAAATTATTGTTAATTTTTTATGTATGAAAATGAAAATGTGATGTTATTATTTTAATCATCCATATATTTTAGAAATATCTATTAAAATATATACCAGTGAAATTATCTGGTGTCTAGAATTTGCTTCAAAATAATGGAAGGGGGAGGTGTGGAATGCATAAGGGAATAGAGGAAATAATTGGCTTTGAGTTCATAACTGTTGAAGCTGGGAGTTGGGTACATAGAAGTTCATTATTCGAATCTATCTACTCTTAAATTCTCCAAAATGAAACCATAAGCATGTCTATATTAATTGACATAGAAAAATAATGTTAAATAGTTAAGCTAAAAAAAAGATTCACAGCATTGGGTTTCTGTTACTACTTTTTTTACATACAAACTTTTTTCACTATACACATGTACACATACATAGAAAAAATTCTGGAATAATACACACTAAAATATTGACAATAACTGTCTTTCTTCTTCATACCTTTTGTAATATCTGAGATTTTTACCAAAAAATATACATTCGTCATAAACATAATTAGACAAGTCTATTCCCTGTAGAACAACAAACAGATACTATCAAAGAATCAAGACACAGGAATGGATGAAGAAGAGGGTAGTATAAGGGAAAAGAAGGGCCAAATTGTGAATGTCTCTTGTTTCACTACACGCATTCCATTGCAAGAAGCTTGGCAATTTCTCTGAGTGAGACAGGATCTACTGAAGGGTTTTTCACAGAGTAGTAAGTAGCATGATCTGATTTATATTTTAGAGGAATCATTTTGGCTACTGTGTTTAGAATAAACTGTAATAAGAGATAAGGATAAGAGAAGGGAAGGCTATTATAATCATCCAGGTGATGGAAAATGGTAGCCTGAACCTGCTCAATACAGTAAAGGTAATGAGTCTGAGGTCAGACTCTGGTTATATTTTTAAAGTGAAGCTGAAATAACTTACTGATGGATCAGGTTTGAGGCATGAGACAGAGATCATTCCAGGACTAGTTGGCTTGAGCAACTGCAAGGATGTGATTGCCATTTTCTAAGATAGGATAAGGGAAGCAGTAAGAAGTCAGGAGTTGGTTTTGGACATATTACATTCAAGATACCTATTAGATATCCAAGTATAATTCTAATCGGATACGTGCTCATTTCCTTTTGTCGTGTAAAGATTGTCTACTTACATCTTTTCCAATAAGATCTCTCTGGTTCTCAATGACACCCCAAGGAGGGATTCCAACTGTCCAGATTTTTCTCAAGCACTGGGAGGAATGGGCTTTCAGGGCATCCCCAACATGTTTGGACACTCCTATAAACAACCAGTTTAGAAGTCAAGCTTTAACTCACAAATCATGCAAAACACCGTGACCCCCAGAAAGAGACAAATAGACAGGTTATATGCAAAAGGTCATCATTAGGAAAAGTTGCTGGCACAGTGGAATTAGTTTCTGTATCTTGGCTTCCTCTACTCCCTCTTGACACCTTTCGCTCCTATCACTGACCTCTTTACCTGAACAATTCTCCTCTCCCTATTGGCATTTCTTACAACCTCAGTTCTGCCCCTACACTTACCTGACCAGCTTGTCTGGCAAGTCCAGCCCTGAAATCATGAATGTCCTAAGTATTCTTTTCTCTGACCTTCTCTACTGTCCCAGCAAAACAGTCTGCAGATGTGTCCCTTGCTTAATTGAGGCAAATTAATCTAATAGCTTTCTATATACAAATATTCCAGAGCTAATACATTAATGTTTGCCCTTCTGGGATTAATAATAATAGCAATAATTATAAGTGCCAACTCTTATTATGCACCAGGTGCTCTTTTAAGTGTTTTACATGTATGTACACTTTAAGTAGAAACTTTTCTTAGTCCATTCATCAATTTTATAGGCAGTAATTAAGGCACAAAGACATTAAATAACTTGCCCAAGGTTATAACATAGGTATTTTGTAGAGCTCTGATTCTAATCCTGGATATCTGATTTTTCTTTTTATAAACAGGATTTACTTCTTAGAGCAGTTTTAGGTTCAAAGTAAAATTGAACATACAGGGGATTTCTGTAAGTCCCCCAGCCCCCAGACACCCACAGCCTCCCCTACTATCAACATCCCCAACCAGAGTGGTATATTTGTTACAACTGATGAACCTACAGTGATACATCATAATCACCCACAGTCCATAGTTGACATTAGAGTTCACTCTTGGTCTTGTACAGTCTGTGGGTTTGAACAATGTGTAAATGACATGTGTTCACCATTCCAGTGTCGTACAGAGTGTTTACTAGCCTAAACATCCTCTGCGCTCTGCCTATTCACCCGAGCTCTCTTCCAACCCCAATCTAACCCCTTACAACACTGATGTTTTACTGCCTTCATAGTTGTCCCTTTTCCAGAATGTCATATAGTTGGAATCATGCAGTATGTGGCCCTTTGAGATTGGCTTAATCTGATACTGCATTGCACCACTTATTCATCCTATGGATAGTACTGACTGTATGTGACATTAGCACAGAAAAAAACCCTGCATGTTACATGCTCCTGATGCATAGCGTCTAAATCATTTCCGTCTCTCTGCATCTTCCCTTCCAACCCATCTTTTGCACTTCTCCCAGAGTCATTTTCTAGAATCAGAGTTCTAGACCACAGGCACGTATCATTATCCACTGTGGCGCCATCTACCACAACAGACATTCGGATCCCACAGGTTTGGCATGGGTTACCAGCTCTATGGTAACGGTGGTGGTGGTGGTGGTGGTGGTGGCTTTTCAGCTGCCCACAAGTGATCCTAATACATATTGTCTGTCGAGACTGTGTAAAACCAGATGTGACTGTGTCATTCCCTATTCACTCTCATGTTCAAAATCCTTTGAAGGCTGCCTGCTACATAGAAAATAAAACCTCAGCCCATCAGCATGGCATCCAATCTAGCTCCAGTCTCCCTTGCTGTTCCTGCCTCTGCCACATGGCAGACCCAGCCGATGGCTTTATCACCTCCTTCTATTCATGCCTTAATCGCCAGCTGTGTGCCTGGCCCACAGCTGCCACCTCTGCCTAGAATACCTCTTCTTACTCTTCCCTCAAGGCCAACCCAAATGCTATATCCTTCTCCAAGCCTTCCCAGGCGCCCTCATTTGGAATTTATCTTCCTCTTCCTTCCTTTGACTCCCAAACATATTCTTTGTATCTCAACGATGACCCAGCCAGCATCGATTTTTAGTCAGTTGCTTATTGTCTAACTGTCACAACACACCCCGTCACTAAACCCAGGGCCCATATCGTCCTCATCTTTCATCCACAGCATCAATTCAAATGCTTTATACGTAGTAGATTCTCTCAGGGCTTATGCCATTTCAATTTAAGTAAATGTCAAAAATTCATGCCAAGTAATGTTCAATTACAGTTGAGAAGCCTCTCAAGAATAGGCAGAAGCTCCTCAGCAGAGCTTCTTATATTTAAATGTGCACAAGACTCGTGTAGGGACGTTATAAAAATGCAGATCCTGATCCTGCTGGTCTGGGAAGGAACCTACGATCCGCATTCCCAATAAGCCCCGGGGGATGTGGTGCTCCTTCAGCAGCCAGGCCCTAAGGAGCTGTGGTTGAATCAGGTCACATTGTTGATTCTTGTTTAAGGGAGCTCCAGAGTGTGTCGCATTTCTCATTTCTTTTGTTCATATGAACTGTTTCAATAATCTCCACATTATTATATTTGTGTTACTTAACTGGCCCTAACCTCAAATGTTGAAAAGGAAAATGCAGTAAGCAAAATAAAGCGTGTAATACACTGATGCAGTTAGCTATCCAAAGAAAAAGCCTTGACCAAAGCTACCCTTTTCTGAACTGAAAAACTTCCCCACCCATCCGCTTTTTTACTGGAAATAAAGTAAGTCCTGGGGCCGGCTGAGCGGCGCGTTGGTTAAGAGTTAGCTTGGGACGTCAGCTCTGAGCAGCACGGCCCCGGTTCGGATCTCACATGAGGGCCAGTGATGCTGCGTCCTCTACAGCTAAGATAGTGAACAACAGCTTGACCTGGAGCTGGGGCTGCCGTGAGTCACCGTTAGCAGCCGTCCAATGGCTGGTGAACAACTGCCTCACCTGGGAAGAGCGCAATGATAATACCAACAAGGTCCAGTGAAGCGACATCCTCCACAACTAGACTGAAGAACAAAAAGACAGCAACTTGTCTGTTCCCCTTCCCTGATTCCCCAGCTGTTCCCTCCCCCAATTCCCCAATAAAATAAAATAAAAATAAAATAAAATTAAAAAAAAAAGTAAGTCCTATATTATGGACTAAGAACTCTGCCACCTTCACTTTTCTTCCAAGAGTGTGAAACAATAACGATCTCAATAAAATGTAAAACAGAAACAACCAAGATACCCCTTAGTGACAGGCCAAATCCTTTGGTTTTCGTTTGCTTTGTGTTTTTGTTTCTGTTGTTTTTGTTTTTTTTTCAATCATTGCTTCCTTCATTCCTTTCAGTCAGAAGAAATAATGTGTCAAATCAGCATGTGTTGCCCAATGCCTAGCCAACCCTGGCCTCTAGCTCACAACCAGGAAGAAGAGCTAATACACAGACCTATCCTAACCTGTAAAGCAAAACACAGACATGCTACAAGTACTACAGGCAGAATATACTATAGAAATTAATAGACAAAAGTAAGTTGAGATAGAGGATACACCCATGCAGCATCCTTTGTCTACTGTAGATCTTAAAGGGTAGACTAGGGCAGCCGGTTGGCTCGGGTGGTTAGAGCACAGGCTCTTAACACCAAGGTTGCCAGTTCAATTCCCACATGGGCCAGTGAGCTGTGCCCTCCACAACTATTGGGTTGTCAGAAAAGTCATGACGTATTTTTTTCTATGTTTTTCATTGCAAAAATGTGTCATGACTTTTCTGACAACCCAATAGATTGAAAACAATGACTTGACTTGGAGCTGATGGGTCCTGGAAAAACACACTGTTCCCCAATAAAGTTAAAAAAAAAAGTGTGGGCTAAATTTAATAGGAGGCATTGCCTAGGGCCAATTAAAATTAAAAATCAGAAGAAGGGGAAATAAAAGGAAGATGGAAAGCCATAGTGTGATACTGTGATTTACAATAAGAAATATATATTTGACTTTCATCCTATTCCAGACATAGAGCCCCTTAAACCTTTGGAATTTCCAAAGAGATGAGAGTGACAAAGGTATGTTAATGAGGTGACTTTTGGGCTGCACCTAAAGATGAGTCTGGTTGCCAGGGGACCCAACCATGTGATTAGAGGGTTGGAACTGAAATCCCACCTCCCAACCTCTGGGAAGGGGAGATGGGCTGGAGATTGAATTCAATCGCCAATAGCCAATTATTTATTCAGTCATGCCTATGTAATGAAGCCTCCAGAAAAACTAAATGGACAGGGTTTAGACAGCTTCTAAGTGGGTGAACATGTGGAGATGTGGGGAGTGCATAGAAGCTCTGTGCCCCTTCCCGCATACCTTGCTCTATGCGTGTCTTCCACCTGGCTATTCCTGAGTTATTTTTTTTACATATATATAATAAACTGGTAATCAAGTGAGTCAGCTGGTTTCCTGAGCTCTGTGACCACTCTAGCAAATTTTGCAAGCCAAAGAAGGTCATGGGAACCTCCAACTTATAGCCAGTTGGTCAGAACTACAAGTGATAACCTGGATTTGCGATTGGCATCTGAAGTGAGGACAGTCTTGAGGTATTGAGTCCTTAGCCCATGGAATCTGACACTATTTCCAAATAGAGTGTCAGAATTGAGTTGAATTGTAGGACACCCAGCTGGTTTCACAGAATTGCCTTGTGTGGAGAAAGAACCCACACATCTGAATTGGTGTCAGAATCAAAACAGGTTAGTAATAGACTGCTAAGAAAGAAGGGTTTACAAAGTTACTAGTTCTCAACTCTGGCTACACATTAGGTACCCTTCAGAAGCTCCACCCTGAAAAACTAATTAATCTGGGGTAGAGTCTGCGTATCTATTTTTTAAAGCCCCCAGGTAATTCTCTAATGTGCAGATAGTTCATAAACACTGATACAAAGGAGAAGGGTTAGAGGTTCAGAGGCTACTATATGAAATTATTGAATGTCTGATTTCAAGCAGTATGAAAGAGCCAGCAATACAGTGAGTGAAATGACAGTTACATAATTAATTATCTCTTCACACCCAATACAATGCAATTGTTGCACACCTCACTGATTTTCAATGCCTGGGAACTGGACCATGGTGAGTTTAGCTCATGTCTGCGCCTACATACTACACATTTGCGTGGATTCCGAATCCTGTCTAACCTCACCATAGTTCAAAGCTCATGGAAGACTATTTTCTTCTGACCTAAAACTTTTACCAGAAATTATGTTAAAATAGCATATTTTAACCATGGTAAAAACACATTCCAGAAAAGGTCTATAGTTCTGGGTTCTTGCCAGTCAATACACTTTTCGTCTTTTTCCCTCATGCCACATCTCCTGGGAGCACAGCAGAGCAGAGATTAGGTGCCATCTTGCTTGATTCACAGCTAGAAAAGGGAAATTAAAAAAAAAAAAAAAACCGTGTATAACAAGCAAATATACTTTACCAGTATTAATGCCTTCAGTTATTATCCATGCTCCTGTTGTCTCTGCAGCTTTGACCAAACCATGGCTGAAGATCTCTTTAAGTTTGGAGGGCATCTTGAAGCTCTGGATACCCCCGTGGACAGAAATCACCAGCTTTGGCAGTTCCATCTTCCACTCTTTAAGCATCAAATGTAACAGATGATCCAACTTTGTATCATAAGAAGTTCTAATATACTGGAAGATAAGCATTTACACAAGTACATAAAACAGTGGAAAATACAGACCAGGTAACAATAAACATGCAGAAAGGCAATTGAAATGGCCAAAACTTGCAAGGAAGCGTCTGAGATCTTTTGAAGTGTCTGAGATCTTTGCATAATGGAAATATTTACTTTGAAAGAATCCCATACCCACTTTAAGTTCCTTGTGGGAATTAAAAGTCATGATAGGAGGGTTTCCTCTAGTTTTCAAGGTTGGCCCACCAATGTTCTCAAGGCCTCGAGGCAGACATACTTCCAAGTGGCAAAAATCACTACTCTAACAAACCCATTAAAAAAAAAAATGTTTTTGGGCCGGCCAAGTGGCGCATTGGTTAAGAGCTGGCTTGGGATGCCAGAGGGCCCCGGTTCAGATCCCACATATGAGAACGAGTGACACAGCCCTCTACAGCTAAGATGCTGAACAACAGCTCAACCTGGAGCTGGGCTGCCATGAGTCGCCGCGATGGCGTAGGCTGCAGCCACTGCTGCAGTGGGTTGCCATGGGCTACCGTGTGTAGCTGGCAGCCAGCATGAGCAGCCAGCAGCTGCAGTGAGCAGCCGTCCAGAAGCCAGCGACTGATCTGCCTTGCCCGGGAAGAGCACAATGATGGTGCCAACTTGGGCCAGTGAAGCAACGTCCTCCACAACTAGACTGAAGAACAAAAGGACAGCAACTTGTCTGTTCCCCTTCCCCCAATTCCCCAGCGCTGTTCCCATCCCCCAATTCCCAAAAAAAAAAAAATGTTTTTAAAAACAGGTGAAATGAGGTTTTTCCTAAATGATATGGTTTTTAATTTACTTGACCATTTCACATATTTGTATAATTTAACTTATAAATTTTACATTCTAACCATTTCCTTTATATATAATTATCCCTCTGAAAATGTTTTCTTCCAAAATAAATACTTTTCACAAAAGAGTCATATCTTGGACTAGTCAATGTAACTGAAAGAAATGATACGAAAATCCAAACCAGCAGGTAGCCCCAGAATTTTGCATTTTGCCTAAGATGATAGTATATGACTGGCCTTCTTTTTCCAGCAGACATGGCAACATACAATCCATTAAAATCATTTGAAATGAGTTTCCCTTCATCAAGCATAAGCCAATCATCAGAAAGAACAAGTCAGATTTACAAGGACAATAAGAAACCACGAATTATAAAACTATGCCCAAAATAACCACAGATAGACATACAAATAGGAATTATCACATTATCCTCCAGAATGCGATAGCAATTTAAAACAATTCTCCATTCACCTTTGAAATTCTTAAACATAATCCCTTTGTGTCATAATTAAAATATCAGAATTTCTGAACATTGGGACGGTGCAGCCATCACAGAATGAGAGTAATAGAAAGAACCTAAGGATAAGTAGAATTCAATTTACAGGTGAGGAGACTGAGCTGCGATGGCTTTATTATACATTCAAATAGTAGGAAAAAAATACAAGTTGACCTTTGTGAAATGGTTTACGTTTCTTCGGATAGCGAATATGGGCAGAGGAGGCAGCTCTGGTTTAGGTCACCTTCTCTCTACCCCAACTCTTTCTCCCACGTGCTCCTCTCTTTCATCACTAAGTCCTTTAAGTTCTAGAAAATATTTCTCCTTGAGATTTCAGGATAAATAACCTTGGTGAACTAAATAAAAGACCAGTCTTTTCTCCCAAAGGCCAACCAAAGACTATGCTAAAGGTTAATGACCCTGTCCCCTCCTCCTCCTTTATAACTAACTCCCTTAGGTTAGGCAGACTCAGGCTGGCAAAGATTCACCTCAAATCCTTTGTGCACTGCAGTGGTGGGGATAAACTGGGAAGGGGAATACAGTGGAGGGAGGTGAATAACCAGCTCTCACAAGCTTCCCTGCTGCTCCCCGTAAACCTGAAGTGCAATTCTGGGCTTAAATATGAAGGATAGATGCTTCTTTTCTGGAGATCAAATAAAATGCATTCAGGTACATAGGCTGTAATGAACAGGAGCCAAATGCTAAGCGTAAAATGTATTAGTGATCAGAGGGTCTGTCTAACCATATTTTCAATTTTCCTAAAAGTATACCATATTCTCCCTTGACCTTTGCTATTCCTTTTGCTTAAAGTGGTCCTACCGTCTTGGCCTCACCAGGTGCCAAGCATCCACTTGTCTTTCTGATCTCCGCTTAACTGTTCCTACTTTCAAATGGTTTCCTTAACACTCACACACAGCCCCAGAAAAACAAGAGTAACTCTTTTTATTCCCTTGAAGGACCCTGTATTCCTTTTTCATAGCACTCTCACCTCTGTACATATAAACATACAAGTAAATTGTATATTTTATATTTTATGCAAATAAATTGTATATTTATTTCGTGTTTCCTTCACTAGACTGTAACCAACGTTAACACATGGAACATATGCTCTTTGGGACATAACCAAGTATGGGTGTTACCAGCCAACCAAGCAGCACCCCCACCACTGAGAAACTTTTAAGTGTTCTTTCCGATAGAAACGTTAAGTATAGAAATGTTAAGTCTCCTCCCTAGTTCCTTAGTTTCTTAGCTCTTGGCTTTGATTCCTCTTCTCATCAGTCTGTGAATCCTAGGCTAAAGACTGCTCCTAGCCTGAATCCTAGAATTCTCCTATCCCCCTGCTTCTTGATTGCTTTGTAAGTCAGTTTCTTAATCCTAAACAATAGATGTCTCCTACCCCTGCTTCAGATAACTACTTGAAAGCCTGTGACTTCCTAATATCCCCCAGGCCAGTAGGCTAATGCCAAACCCATTCTGGGCCCAGACAACTGATGCCACCTGAGTGACGGGCTGAATGGCCACAGGCTTCATGAGCGCTAACAGATTTATTAATTAAAATCTATTTTTCCTCATTCAGGGGCCTTGGAGATACAGAGGATACCCCAACCAGATTGCCAGTTACAACCAAAGAAGCCAGCACGGTCTTCCAGGCGGAGCTCGAGACCCCTTCCTTCCATCTGAGATCAGCTAGGGTGAGAGTTCTGTGAATCCCCCAATAGGCAGGGACAGCTCTACGCCCCTGCCCAGCAGGAAGCAGATACAGAAGAGGAGACCTCCTGTCCCTCAACTTCCCATAGAGATTTAAATGGGGATCACGTCTCTCAAACAGAAAACTAGGCAGGCAGAGGCAGGCATTGGGTCTCTACATTCCCACAGACTGTGACCGCCCAGGGGACATCCCCTCTCCACACAAACTCCCCTTTGTATTGTAATTACCTACCCCTGTGGGAAAACAAATGGGCACAAAATATCCAACTAGATCAGACCAGTCACTCACACCTGCGCAGTACCTCTTGTCAATCACAGGTGCCAATCAAGTGGTCCCAAGCCCATAGGGAAACAGCCCTTTCTAGAGAAAGAGGATAAAAACTCCAAGCCCTGGGAAGTCCGCCCTGCTCTTTTTGACCGCTTATTCCCTTTTTTTGGACTGCCTTCCTCCCATTTTGAGCCTTTTGAGCCTCGACTTCATGCGTGGCCTGCTCCAAACTCTTTGGAATGTAATTTCTTTTTTAATAATGGGCCCTTGAGCCATTCTCTATTGCTCGGGCCACTTCTACTTCTTTGAAATGTACTATCTCTTCGAATAAACTACTTTTTAAGTACTTTACTCTGGCATCTCGCTCAATTCTTTTCTCGAGTTGCCAAGGACCTGGACTTTGCGCCGAGAAGGGCCCACTCTCCGACAACATGGGCACCCAATTACTATTTGTTGAATAGATGAAAAACATGAGTAAATGAAAATGACTGCGAATAAATATGAGAAGCAAAAGGAAGAAGACTAAAATTTAAGGAAAAAATTACATACAAAGTAAACTACATATATACTGAGTCAGCTTCTAAAAAGGACTTGGAGAGGAGAATGAGGGCAGTTTTCCTGCCAGCTAAAGAAATCATTAACACACAAAGTTAAATTCAAGAGGATAATAACTAGAAATGTAGGTTACTGTAAAACTATATTTTGAAACTTTAGTATGATTGCACTATTAAGAACTATTATTTCAAATCCTTCCAAGTGATGGTTCCACTCCAGCATATAGCTGATTCTGAGCTTTCCTGAGGTGGGCTCACCCTGTGTTTTCCCCCCAGGGAATGCTGCCTCTACTAAAGCAGCAGGGGGTTAACAAGCTAAAAGAGAAAATATCTGAGAGATAAGTGATCTGTCAATACTATGCAAATTACCATATTAGGGACAGGAGAAAAATTGTCCTGGAGAGCCCAGTACTATAATTCAGGGGTTGTTGAGAGAAATTGCCCCATTTCTTTCCCCCAGAAGAGGCTCTCACAAGGACATAGCAGGCATGAACAACAACAAGTTAGTGGTAATTGCTACAGCCATGCTTCAGCTAAAGCCTGCTCTTTGGTAGTAAATTTCTGCATTCCTTAAGAGTAGCCCTTTCTCAACTGTCTCAAGAGCAAAAAACCATTCTCTTCCACAGAGGGCATAAGCTTGCTGAAAGAGGTCTGTCAAATAAAGGGCTGGCCACACCACCCCTGGGAAAGGAAAAATGCCCCTCAGACATAAAGGAAAGAGAAGGCTCAGGTCATTTTTGTCAAGAGGTCAATAACATGGATCTATTTTTGCAATAAAGCTCAGTCGTCTAATCATCTACACCTGAAGATACAATTTGGAGATACAATTTGGAGGTTATATCCTCTCTTAAAAACCAGCAAAATAATATGGGTTATTAGCAAACCTTGGCGTGGTGGATGTGCTCTCCATCTTGGAAATTAATAGTGCCAAAGGTATCTGTAGGACTTTTTGTTGTGTGCTTCTCAACAGACCATTGTTCATTTTCATCACCGTTGGCAGCTGATGTGGTCCGGGCATAATCTATCCCATGATGGTCTCCAATCAATCGCCCACAGTAACACCTTACATTTTGGATAAAAACCAAAGATGTAATATTTCCATAGTTTTTCTAGGGTAACGTATAGATGACATATATTAATAATTTTTAAAACTTCACACTAAGATTTATAGATTTTTAACACTGGATGGCCCTCTAAGTTCAGAACACTTTCTGTTTCTCTCCCTTAGCTGTATGTTAGAATCATTTGGGGGAATGTTTTAAAAAATACTAAAAATCTCTTGTACACCCATGTTCACAGCAGCATTATTCACAATAGCCAAGAGGTGGAAGCAACCCAATGCTCATCAATAGACAAATGGATAAAAAAATGTGGTATGTACATACAATGGAATATTATTCAGCCTTAAAGGGAAAGGAAATCCTGTGGCTGAACCTTGAGGAAGTTATGATAGTGAAATAAGCCAGTCACAAAAAGACAAATACTATATGATTCCCCCTATATGAGGTACCTAGAGTAGTCTAATCCAGAGAAAGAAAATAAAATGATGGCTGCCATGGGCTGAGGGGAGGGGCTAGTGGGGAGTTATTATTTAATAGACATAGTTTCAGTTTTGCAAGATTAAAAAGTTGTGGAGATCAGTTACACAACAAAGTGAATATACTTAACACTACTGAACTAGACACTTAAAAATGGTTAAAATGGTACCAAAAATCAATACCATACTTTAAATATGTGTGCTTTATTTTATGTTAATTATACCTCAACAAAATTGTTTTTTAAAAACCTAAAAACAATACTTAAGGAAAGTAAGAAAGTGTTTGCATGTAAAATATAATATGCACATCAAAAGGAAGGAATGTTAATCAATGCAAAAAATAGATGCTACTTCAGAGAAATGTTAACAGAACTATCACAAGAGCCATGAGACTTGACTATAAACATAAATTAAATAATAATATATGTAATCTAATTTTAAAGAGAGAAAATTTAATAAATGTTCTTGTAAATAATTAGCAGTCTTGGAAACCATTTCATATTTATACTCATAATTTCTACGATACAAGAAAGTAAACTAAGCAAATTAAAAGGTTAAATCTTTTTAAAACTAAAACTACATAAAACTAACAAAATATAATAGCATATTTGTGAAAGAATGATAAACTTCTCATCTTTGATGAATTAGGAACAGAAAGAAGAAAAATTTAAATTTAAATGTGTAAAACTTCAGTACTTTCTGCAATGAAAAAATATACATCTGCAGATCAAGAAAATGATTTGCATCAAATATGTCAGATCATATGCTTGTTACAAAGGTTATTATTCAGCTTTATAAATGATTCAGGCTTTTGTGTATGTGTAGAAAGCAACATAAACACATGTACAAATTATGGGGTCCAACTAAGCAAGGAAACAGAATGAAGAGAAAGCAGAAAGCAGTCAGAAAATGAAGCAAAATATTGGATTCTGTATGGAGGGGCTCTTGGCTTGAAGGAAGGAGGAACAATCCCAAATGTTCAGAATATACTAGTGAGAAACGTGTCTTCTGTTCATTTTTTGGAGCAATGGTCACTCTTGAAAATGAAAAAGCCCCTCTTCGTAAACTGAATCATGCATCTCACTGTGGTTTTTTCTAAACAGAACATCAGTGGAGGCAACCACAATTCACACAATCTTCAAGGTGATTGTGAAGATTGTTTTCATTTTATAGAGCAGTAGGAGACACCTGAGCTCAATCTGCCTTCCACTGCAGCCACCATCACATTACAAAATGTCATAAAAGAGCATTTTATAAAGTAAAATGAGAATTTCTAATCACAGGACTTATCCTTCTGTGGATGGCGGTGTCCTTTCCCCATGATTTGCTAAATTTTGGATCCTGAATTTATTTATTTACCAAAATAAATTTAACATGGCTTCAATCCATAATATCAACTACAGGATATAATAATTTTTAAAATTTCATTTTCCCCCACTTACAAAAGAGAAAGGTAAAACCAGTCATGAACACATAGTTTAAAATGCAAACGTTAAAATTTATATTGCACTAAAAAGTCACTTTTGCCCATAATTTTCTATGATAATGTGACTTGTAATAAATACATACTTGGTCTTTATCCCCATTCCTGGCACAGAGCTCCTAAAACCCTTGGAATTGCCTAAGCGGTAAGAGTGATAAAGGTGTTACAAGTTCAATTGCTCGCCAATGACAAATGATTCAATCAATCATGACCATGTAATGAAGCATCCATAAAAAAACCACGAGGGCAGGGTGTAGAGAGCTTCAGGTTGGTGAACACACGGAGGTGCTGGGAGAGTGGCACACTTGGAGAAGACGTGGAAGCTTTGTGCCCCTTCCCACATACCTTGCCATACACAAATCTTCCATCTGGTTGTTAATCTGCATCCTTTATAATATCCATTACAAGAAACTGGTAAACATAAAGAAATATTTCTCTAAGTTATGTGAGCTGCTTTACCAAATTAACTGAACACCATGGAGTGGGTCTTGGGAACTTCTAATCTATAGGCCATAGGTCAGAAGCACAGGTGACAACTTGCACTTTTAATTGTTATCTGAAGTGGGCGGTTGAGGGTTGGGTGTAGTCTTGAGTTTTTAACCTGTGAGAGATGATACTATCGCCAGATAGTGTCAGAACTGAGTTAATTACTTGGTGGTGTTGGGAAAAAAACCACATCAGAATTGGTGTCAGACTTATTTATAAGTCATAGATCAAATACAGTGTTGTATGTCCCCAAAGCATCTTCATTTATCCAAATAAAATGTAAGATAGTAAAATGAAAATTCAATGCTTTAAAAGTATTTCAATTGGTAGAAGCTCTTGTGAAAGGCCCTTACCATTTACATGTCTCAGTAATTCAAGTAATCTATTACATTCAAATAATTACTCGCCTTCAAAAAAAAAATCTCATTTTTTTTAAAAGTTGCCTTGGAAAGGGGAAGAAGATGTTGACCAATAGAGTCCTTTCATTTAGTCCATTCAAGATGTGAAAAAACTATACAATGAATTTTAAATGAAGTGCCTAAAAGTTAAAAGAAATCTTATTTATCTAAGTCCTACCTGATTAAATTCTGGCAGACCTGGCATCCTGCAGTACATCTAAATTAAAGAAATAAAACCTGTTAGTTTACTGATATATTTGAAAACATATTTAATGTTCATACAGTAAATATCTGCTATCTTCTATGGTCTGGAAATCAGGATTTGGTGAGTATTCATACATCATTCCCCAAATATTCCCATGTCATTTATGAAATATGCAACTATGACCTAATTAACAAGAGTCTGGAACCGAAATACCTGGATTTCAGTCTCATTGACTTAACGATTCTTCTAAGCTCTAGTTTTCACATCTAAAAATAATATCTGTCCCATAAAGTTATTAAAAGGATTATCTGAGATAATACATAAAAAGTGTCTTACAGTACCTGGTACATAGCAGTATTACATGTATAATAATGGTCACTATTATTACTGTAAAGATAACACAGAATTCTTCAAAATCAAGTAAGAAAATATACATATACAAACAATTTTAAAATCATAAAACACTATCAAATCAAGGGACAGTTGGTATTATTTTAAATCTTTCTTTTTTGTGATTCAAAAGAACCTTCTGGATTTGGGGCTTAGCATTGTGGTCATCAGTGGTCACATTTTAGAAAAGAACTCTAGTTAAAATAATGGAAGAAAAGGTAGTGTTCATAGAATCAGAGTCATTCTAAATTATTCAGAAATGAATATTCAGGCTTTTCATTTCTTCCTGTCCCAGACTTTTGGAAATGTCTTCTCTCAGAAGTTTCACTTCAACAAGTTCAAAAGAGAAGGAAAAAGACATTGTAATCAAGTCTATCAGATTTACTTCTTACTAGGAGCTACAAAAAGAATCAATAAAAGACAAACTTTTATCTAAATTTAAAATAGTGAACTACCACCCTATTCCTGTGTATCATAAGGAAGAAAACTGTACAGAATCTACAAATTTGAGAATCTTCCGAGGCTGTAAGAAAAAGGTTGGTTTAAGAGGAATAGTCATAATCATCCATTAACTTTTTTATCACACAAAAATGGAGATTTCTCTTTTTCCCATAAAAAGTAGTATATCTCGGACCATTCATGGAATTATGATCATTGATATTCTTCTTCAGTCTATGGGCTAATTACCTATAGTTTATCACTTTTCATGAGGTTCAAGGTGATTGTGAAGATTGGTTTCCACTTTACAGAGCAATAGGAGACACCTGAGCTCACTCTGCCTTCCACTGCAGCCACCATCACATTACAAGATGTCAAAAAGAGCATTTTATAAGGCAAAATGAGAATTTCTAATCACAGGGCTTATAAGCCACAGGTAATTCAATGAGGGTGGGACTAGTAAATATTTAATAAAGGCAAGGAACACTATTTTAGTCATCCCCAAAGAACTAGAATTTTACTAACCTCACCATGCTCCCTTTCATAAGCATACAGCTGTGACTGCTACACTTCAAATGAATATAAGACCAAATGCTCTCCTTTTGTTCTTCAGTCTAGTTGTGGAGGATGTCGCTTCACTGGCCCATGTTGGTATTATGATCATTGCAATACCAACTTCCCGGCTGAGGCAGATCGCTCACGGCGACTCACGGCAGCTCACGGTGGCTGCCGGCCACTCATGGTAGCTTACAGCAGCCCAATGCAGCCCCACTGCAACCTATGCCATGGCCGGCGACTCATGGCAGCCCAGCTCCAGACTGAGCTGTTATTCACCATCTTAGCTGTAGAGGGTGCAATGTCACTGGCCCATGTGAGATCCAAACCGTCAGCCTGCTGCTCCAAGTTCGCACTCCCAAGCCAACTCTTAACCAAGGAACCATTAGGCTGGCCCTCCTTTCAGTTTTAAAGTGAGTGTTCTGACTTCAGACTAAGTTGAAGATCATTCCTAGGAATGGCAAAATGTCACACAGTTTCTCAGTCATCCCACCAGCCACATGAGGAGCTTTTGCTATTGAATTATTTTTAAAGCTTTTTTTCTTCTTCTTTTCATTTTTACTAACATAAAAATGGTGTGAAACCCAGACATTCATTACACAAGTCATGTACATGAAGTTGGCACTAGAGTCCTCATTCTGCCCATCACTCTGACAGGAAATCCACCTGTGCTCTGACCATCAGAAGAAAAATAAAAGGTATTTTTGTGTAGTTGAGGGAACTGGGGAATGCTCAGAAATAGGAAGGCA